TTAAAATAAGCTACAGGGCTATGGAGATGGTTTAGTGGGCAAATAATTTGCCATGTAAGCCTGAGGACTGAAGCCAAATAAAGACCCAGTGGGTACAGCTTCACCCTGCAATCCCAGTTCTAGAGAGGCACAGATAGGGGATCCCTGGTGCAAACTGGCTAACTAGACTAACCGAAATGACAATCTCTATGTTCAGCAAGAGACACTGTCTCACTGTATAAGGTAAGAGACATCAAGGAAGACCCTTGACATCAACCTCAGGCCATCACATGCATATGCAGCAATACACATGTAAGCACACAAACATGCATGCGTATCACATGCCTATATGCAAAATTAAAGTTACAGTAAAAATACTTCCTAGTTGTCTTAGCACACATTTCCACTCTTGCTATTTTGTGGCCATTCATTTCTGTTAGTCTTGTACCATAGCCACAGAGTGGAGGGTGTGCTACTGTGGACATATTCTTCACATCTCTCAAACTGATGTGATGCTGTGGCTGAAAATTTGCCACATTGGAAGTATTTATACTACATAAATAGACAAGTTCAACACATCTGGGCTTGACTTAAATCACCAGTCCAGATTTAAGCAATGATGGATGAAAACATCAGTAGCACAGCTTAAGCTTGAATTTTGTCTATTTGTAGCTATCACAGTATAAATAGAAACTTTTTTAGAAAAGAAATTATAGAAGCCATGTTTCACAATTTGGACAATAACTCACCACTACCAGGTCAGCCATCTTTCAAGCTTTAAAAACTGACTGATTCAACAAAGAAGATGCTAACATCAATAAGCTGGTGACATTCTGCCATGCGTCTTTCTTTGGCCTTGCTTTGATCTTATTCCTAATATAACCACAAATATCAACTAACATTCATGTTGGAGATAGATTCATTTATCAGTTCACCCAAAGTTGCTTCTGATGTAAGAGTTTTGCAATGGGCAATAATAAAAATCTGTAGAAACCAACTGACTACATTAAACTTGTTGTAGAGACCATTAAATATTTTATTGCTGTTTCTAAATTGTGTACTCTACATCCTAAACACCAGCAGAAATAGACAAATAAATCTTTGAATTTTTCCAGAGGTCCCCTGTTGAATACTCACCAGCACACCTCTGTCTGTGCTGTCTCCCTGCTCCAGACTCTATGTGACAGAGGTAAAACTCTGAAAGTCTCCAAGAAGTCCTGCTTCTGGAGACCACTCTCTGAGAACTTCTGCCTTAAAAGAGAAAAGAAGCTTTTGTGGCTTGGTCTTCCTACTGCTGGATAGACTTCCAGTCTACATTTAGTCACCAGATATATTACTGGCTTCTATTTCAGAAGACATTACAGTCTAATTAAAGAAGCCAATACTTGCTCAATAGATGATGAATCTTGAGACAAAATAGAAATGAATGAAGTCAGTTCACCACTATAGTGTGAAGGCAACTGCAAAACTCATTCAATCAAAAGTCATTCCAATCTAGGCAGTAGTGAAGAGGCTGCCTTTGATGCCCTTGAGATTGATGACTACCTTGGTTGCCATCCTAGAGCCTTCATCCAGTAGCTGATCAAAGCAGAAGCAGGCAGCCACAGCTAAAAACTGAGCCATGATTCCTGGAATCCAGTCATAGAGAAGGAGGAGGGATGAGCAAAGGAGACAAGACCATGTTGGAGAAACTCACAGAAACAGTTGACTTGACCTAATGAGAGCACATGGACCCCAGTCTTAAAGCTGGGGAACAAGCATTGGACCAAACTAAGCCCCCTGAATGTGGTTGCCAGCTAAGAAGCCAGGGCAGTCTATGAGACCTCTAACAGTGAAACCAGTGTTTAATCCTAGCGCACAAATGGACTTTGGGAGCCCATTCCCTATGGAGGGATACTATTACAGCTCAGATACATGAAAGAGGGCCTAGGCCCTCCCCCAAATGATGTGATAGACTTTGATGATCCCCGGTGGAAGGTCTAACTATCCTTGGGGAGTGGGTGGGGAGAGGGTTTGGGGGGTTGGTGGGGGGTCATGGGAGGATGGGAAGATGAGGAAATAGGGGGATTGATATGTAAAATAAGATTATTTCTAAAATAGAAAAATCACTAAAATAAATTAAAAGCCATTCCATATGTATTAGAGTCAATACATAAAGACATTGCTAATGTGCACACATTGTGCCTGACAGACTATCTATAGTAACCCACAGAAACATTATCCTTGACACAACTTCCTGCCTCATTCCCAGGTGACACGTTCCCTGCACACTTTACCTTGTTTCCTATAGATACCTGCCTCAACAGTAAACTTTTCCTTCTTTCTTTGTAGACCTCAGATCCGCAGGAGAGCATTATCTATTGCACTGTGATTTTAAGAACAGAACTTAAGATGAACAGCTCAGCCAGATGATGCTAAGATAGATACTGGACCTCTCTGAATCCTCATTCACCAATGAAAAAGGAAGTGATAATCCCACTTTATATGGTCATTTAAAAAGACAATAAATCGATAATATTTATAGTGTTTCCTGATATATAAATGCTAACAAGTTCAATAGCTCAGTTTTGTTATTGCTTAGTTTTAATTTCTGCAACTAATGTCTTTACTTTTAGTATATCTATGTATTCTTTGATAATCTCATAAATGCATACAGTGTATTGTAACCATATTCACTCTCTACTGCCTTCTCCAACTCCTCCAAGATTCCCTCTACCAACTTCATGTCTTATATTTTTTACTACCCTGAGTTTAATTAGTGGTGCCCGTATATGTGTATGGGTGTGGTACGGTCACCCAGTGGAGCATGATCAATTATCAGGGACCACACCCCTAAAGAAAGTCAGCTCCCCCGACCCCAGCAGGCACACAATGACCATAGTGTCTAAGCTAGGAGTGGAGGCTCATGCACCTCTCCCCATCCACGCTAGAATGCTGACTAGTTTGGCCTTGTGCAAGTCTTTCACAGGCAACCATGATTCATGAATACAAAGTTCTGTCAGATCTAGAAGACACTCTTTTCCCCAAGTCGTCCCCAACCTCTGACTCTTACAACCTTTTCACCCCCTTTTCCACATTATCCCCTAAGCACTGATGGGAGGGGCTATCAAATATATGTCACATTTATGATTGAGCACTCAGAGAAACACTTGTTCTCTGAGCTTTGATCCATTGTAAGTCTCTATGTTAACCATGGTATTATATATATGCTTTTCCAATGAGGACTGAACGCTGCACTAACCTATCGTTATTGAGATACATATTTAGAAGGCAGTTTGATAATATATCCAGTTAGTAAAATTATGGTAGGAAATTCATCTCTAGGGCCTATGACTTTCCCAGCCACACATTCTTGACTGACCTTCAGTACCAGGCCCAAGTGGAACCGGCTTTAAAAATCAACAACAAAGTACCAGGTTACCCCACAACATTTGTGAACTTTTGTACCCATGGGCATGTCTCATCATGGCAGTCATTGTGGTAGCTCCCAGGGTTCATAGCTGGATAAAACTGTGGATGACTTTTCTCCTACAGCAGCCTGGACAGCACCTACAAGCACAATGGAAATTAGCCAGCAGGGAGAATGCTTCCAAGTCAGTACCAGCTTGACTTCCAAGTGCTGTGACATATTAAAATATAAATTATTTTTGATAATATAACAAACATCTATGAATGCAGTCAATGTAGATACACAATATGTATCTGCCCATATTTTTCTTCCCAAATTTCCATCTATGTTTTTATACTCAATGTAACCATGGGTTTAGCAACTACTTTCTTTATATTGCTTTTATTTATCCCATTATTTATGTTATTATTCATTTTTAATTAGTATAAAATAGTGGATTTAATTATACATTTTCATAAGTATATATCATCGTACTTTGTTCATATTTGTTCCTCATCCTTTTTCTCCTTGCCTCTTCCCATGGGTCCCTTTCCTTTCCCCTATTAGTTACCTTATGCTTTCATGTCCTGTGTGGGGGGTGAGGAGTTTTGTGTGTGTTCATATGTGTATAGAACGAAATCTGGGTTCTGCATATGAGGGAAAATATATTGTAAATACATTATATTGTTCTTTCTTTTTCCCAGGTACTCAGTCATGCCTTCCCTTCCCCACTTAGCCCCTTCCTCTCCTCACACATTCTTCCTTCTCCCTTCATGTCCCATATTCATGTATTTTGTACCTAGACCCTGCGTGTGAAAAAAAACAATTACTTTCTTATGTTACATATAATTCGAACTCATATTTAGTTCTAAAATTGCATTATTTCAATCTAATTGATTATTTAGATAGTGATGTATGTGTGTTGCATACATGTTGAGTGGGGGAATACACTAATGTGGAGGGGGATATGTGCCCATGTATGCACATGCATAGGCCAGAAAGGGACAGTAAGTATCTTTCTCTATGGCTCTCCATCTTATTGCCTTGAAACAAGGTCTCTCACCTGAGTCAGACATATGCCTATTTGGTCAGATCTCTCAAGATCTGCCTATCCCTGCTCCCCAGTGCTCAGTTTACAACCTTATTCACCTCTGGTCCTCATGCTTTCAGAGCAAATGTCTTACCCACTGAGCTCTCCCCAGTGTCCACCCTCCATTTTAGTTGTATTTAATCTTTTTACAAGTGTGACATGGAACATGCGTTCTTTTGAGACCTCTTGAAAATTTGTGTACATTCCTGTGTAGAGCCATAATTTAAATGAACTGCTTAGAATTTCCATGTAAACTGTCTGGTCTCATGGTGTCGGCTCCATTACTTCAAAACAATGCTATAAAGGTCTCTAAAGTTCTAAAAGTCTTCACAGTAGGAAGACTCTGCTAAAAAATATTCAAGATCCTGATGTCCCTACCTCACCCTTTTATAAGAAGAGCTTTGAGCTTTAGTTGCACACAGCCCTGTCGCAATGAGGCATACTCATTACAGCCTACGGCACTGTCTATTAGATCCCACTTACTCTTCTGTTTAGATCTAGCCGTGAGGGCATCTAAGGGATAGCTGCTGGACAAAGCCAACCTAGACTTTCATCATGGCAGCCTTCCCCCTCCCATCAGGCCCTGGCACTACAGACTTTAAACTAAGGCTAGAGTACCAAGTCAGGTCATGTTTGGGGAGTTGGGAGACAGAAGTGGACCCCGGAATTCTCCCAAGGCTATTCAAGGACTGCATGAAAGCACAGATACCATAGAAGTGAATGGCATGGGGGTGGGAACAGGGTGGGGATGCTGAGAGGCTCCAGCACAGCCTTTCCTCACAGTGAGCATGTGTAGACTTATCCTGGATGTTCACATCTCAAACTGCATCTGTAAATGTTTTCTAAAATACCTCTACCTAGAATTACTGGCTTATCTTCAGGACCCATAACATGGGGCATTCATGGGTAAGTTTTGGATTACAGTAAGGAAAAGTCAAACGATCCCCAGGATTCCTTGGGGCTGGGAAAACAATCCTGAATCCTGGTATGTCCTCAGAAGTTGATTGATCTGTCCCTGCAAGCTAATCTTTCAGGAAATTGACTGCGGGGAGCACAATGACTCACTCAAGCAGGAGGATAGGCGAGCACCTGCTCGTCCATGTATTAAATTGGGTTTTTAAGGCATTGATCTTTTAATATCCTTGAATGTTCTCTGAGCCTTTCATTAGAAGGAGGCCCTCTGGAAGCAAACATTAAAACCACTGGTTCTCCAATGACAGTCCCCAAATGTCAAAGGTAAGTGAAAGGGAGAGCAGGAGAAAGGCAGGTCTGGACACAAGTAAAAGAAGAACAAGAGAATCTTCCGGTAGGATCTTTGGTGATGGTCTGCCCTGAATTACAGCAAAATGCAAGAGACACAAGAGGGGAGGGGCCAGTAAAGCAACCAAAAACCCTACAATGTGATCTTAAGTAGCTCAGTAAGTTCCTGACTTCCCCTTCCATTTACTTTGACATCTGGAGACTGTTTTCTCAACTCCAGAGAATCCTGGGTACTTAAGGCCCATTCATCAGGAGGAAAGTTATGTCTGGTATGGGAAATTTACTGAAGTCACAGATCATAGAGGAGAGCCTACTACTACCACTTTGCTAACAGTATAATTCCTAACTGCATTCTAAATATTTATACCCACAGAGAAATGTCTCTTTGTGATAACATGTAACAATAACAATTAAAGAAAAATAGACCATGATTTTAAGAAGGAGCAAATGGGACCAGTACGCAAGAGGGATTAGATTGAAAAATTGAAGGAGAAATTATGTAATTGTATTTTTTTTTAATTTAAAAGGAGAAAATGGAAAGTGGAGAGACCAAGTGTTAGTTAGGGTTTCATTGCTGTAAAGAGACTGACTTACAAGTTTCAGAGGTTTAGCCCATTGTCATCATGGTGGGAAGCATGAAGGCATACAGACAGACATGGTGCTGGAGAAGGAGCTGAGAATTCCACATCTTGATCTGCCTGCAGCATGAAGTGAACTAATTTGAGTTTCTGAGACCTCAAAGCCCACACACTAGTAACACACCTCCTCGAACAAAGCTACACCTACTCCAACAAGGACACACCTCCTAATACTGCTACTCCCTATGGGCCTACTGGAGGCTTTTTCTTTCAAACCACACATAGTCCTGGAAAAAAGAATTTGAAAGAGAGGAGGAAGAAATTAAAGAAGAGGCCGACATGAAAGAGACATCAGGAGTGAAGGGAGGCAGATTATAAGGTGTGAAACACCTGATAATGGAGGGGAAGATATAAAACAACTTCTGTGGGTAAGAATTGGATCCCCATTTAGTGGTTTTTGAGAGAAAAAGACCATTCCACACTTAGTTTATAGTTTTTCAAGATTCTGACTTTACATTGATACAAGAGAAATGTGCACTCAATAGAAAGTGTCTTTTGGGGGAATAGAGAGAATTTCTTAAAAGTTATTTCTTTTTTGAAATTATTTAAAATATAATTATACCCCCCACATCTGACAGAGGGCTGATTTCCAAAATATACAATGAACTCAAGAAGCTAGCCACCAAAACACCAAACAATCCAATTAAAAAGTGGGGTGCAGAACTAAATAGAGAATTCTCAATGACTGAAAGACACTTAAGAAAGTGCTCAACATCCTTAGCCATCAGAGAATACAACTCAAAACAACTATGAGATACCTTCTTACACTAGCCAGAATGGCTAAAATCAAAAACACCAATGACAGTCTATCTTGAAGAGGATGTGGAGGAAGAAGAACACTCCTCCACTGCTGGTGGGAGTGCAAACTTGTATGACCACTTTGGAAATCAGTAGGGCGGTTTCTCAAGAAAATGGGAATAAGTCTACCTCAAGATCCAGCAATTCCTCTCTTGGTCATATATCCAAAGAATACGCAGTCATACAACAAGGACATATGTTCAACTTTGTTCATAGCAGTGTTGTTTGTAATTGCCAGAACCTAGAAGCAACTTTGATGTCCCTGAATCGAAGAATGGATGGAGAAAATGTGGTACATTTGCACAATGGAGTATTACTCAGTGGGGGGGGGGGGGGAACAATGAAAT